CGCGTCCCACAGCTGTGGGATGTGGTGGGCGGCGTTGACAGAAGGTTTCGTCCGCGCCAGAAGAGCATCCATGGCGCCCGCCCATGACTGGACGGCGATGCACGAGAGCGGATCCTCTAAGACGCTCCCCACCGCAAACTCAAACACCTCCGCGACGGCGCCGCTCGACACCAACGCCTTCCACTCATCGTTTCCAAGCACCGGCACCCGCAGCTCAATAAATTGCACTGCTGCCGCATATTCCGTCTGATCCTGTACACTTAATGGCTTGGCCTGCAGCTGGGCAGCAATGCGTCGGAGTTCCTTGAGCAACAACTGGAGCCAATTCGTGCTGACGTCACTCACCATTGCAAGAAATACCCCCCAAAAATAAAAAAACAAAAACAAAAAAGCAAACAAACAACAAAAAAACGACAGAAAAAAAAAAAAAACTACTCTACCGAGGGCTTGTTGGAAAAGCAAAAAAAAAAAAAAAAAAAGGCAAAAGAGAGACAGAGAAAGAGAGAGTGAATTACAACAAAATGCTTTATCACTTACCCCACATCGCAATTTAAAAACGACCAACAAAAAGGAAAAGCTACAGTTTTAAGCCAGGAATAATAATAAAAAAAGATTTTTTTTTTTTTTCTAGACGCATGACACAAGCACATATATATATATATATATGCGTTCAGCACAAAATCATTTTTTCTATTTACATCATAAAAAATGGCATAACCAAGTAGACAAGAAAATAAAAAGGAAGAGTGAATCGAGACGAAATAAAAGACTATCGCATTATGCGCTTCATGGATTTCCCCCAATTCTCCCGCCATTCCTCCTCCTTCTCAGTCCACTTCTGAAAGGCAACGCTCGCCTTGTCCACAGCGTTCGAGGAGGTATTGTTAAAATGCTCTACCGATTGCTGGGTAAGCTTTGCCATTTCCATGTGCAAAGGGGTCTCCGGCGCAACAATGGCGACAGCCGGCGCATGCTCCTCCAAAGACACAATGGAAGCATCATTTTTCTGCCGTCGATTGCCTGCCAAAGAATATAAACGCGACAACCTTGAAACGCGTGCAAAGGCGGATGCGATGTCAATATTTGGTGCAGCGATTTCGGCATCCGGGTGCTCAGCGTTGAACATCTCCAGCGGCCGCACAGCACGGAGTGGCACGCGACCGTGTTCCACTTCCTGCAGCGCTGGAACGGGCAGAAGTACATTTGACGCCTCAGCAGCAGAGTAAGGGTCAAACCTTTTGCCTCCTGACGTTGTGCTGCCCTGGAACTGGCGATTCATTGTTTCACGCAGTCTCCGTTCTCGCTTCGTTGAGTGCTGCTGTATCTCTTTCGTGCGGTTCTCCTTTGCTTTGAGACGCAGCAGGCTGCGAAGCCCTCGGTGCCGACCATCGCCCCCATCGTCATCGGCGGGTTTTAAATTCTCCGGCAGCACAACTCCCCGCAATAAAGCAAAAAAATTGTTGCTTACATTAAGACTTCTTGCGGCATGCATGGTGGCCTCGTCCTCTATCTCACGCAGTGCATATCCCCATATTTTTTCGATGGTTGCATGCGTCACGGTCTGCCGGGCGTTTTCGGCATCGCACAGCGCATCAAGTTTATCGCGGTTGTAGTTCGATGCGAGGGTAACTTTTGCAAGACGATCGTGCATAGACCGCAACGTGTCCGAGTCGCCATAAAAGCCGGCAAAGACATCAAACACAGCCGCTACACGTCGTTCCATTGCCGTGGAGGACAAGGTGTACGTCGAATTAACCAGGTAGTTTGGAATCTTTTGCAGCGCCACAGACAGGCGCTGCACCTGCTCGCGGTACCGTTGCACCGCCTTCACCATGTACTGAGAGACATTTCGCTGCTGTTGATCACAAATCCGATTGCACATCTCCATGACATCCTTGAGATTCCCCCCCGACATGCCGGGCAATCGGCGCAGAAGCGGTGGCGGGTACATAGAAAAGTGGTGGTCTGTCAGAGTTTCCACCTGCGATTTCGTCACCGCAAGCCATTCGTTTAATTGCCGTTCCGCAGGAACAACTTCCGGAAGTTCAGTTGTTGTGTAGAGCGCGGCCATCATACAACTCGGTATTGCAGAAGACTTCGACTTACTCCGTGGGCGTCCTTGCGAAGAAAAAGAGGTAGTTGATGGTGTTGGTGTTGTCGTTCCAGCTGCTGTCGTGGCCGCTTCCTCCGCGGTTGCGTCAGAAGTAGCGCCAAGACGTGGATCGATGTAGTTTTCCTGCGGTACGTTAAATAGCTCCACGCCGTACTGTAGGCAGTCAAGGTGCCGTCCACGCACATAAATTTTCTCGCGAATGTGATCAAGAAGACGCATCACTTTTGACGGATCACTCGCACGAATCTGCCGCTGCGTCTCGATCCTTAGATCTGCCAGCCGCCCACTCAACTCCGCCTCCACCTCACGTGTGCGGTCTTGCGTCAATGTGATCGCACCTGCCCCCGTACCCCTTGCCATTTTTTGTACTTTCTTCGTGGGCGTGACGGTGGGAGAAGAAGCAGCGGAGGCACGTCCAGTAGCAGTCGACGACCGTACCTCCGCATTGCTAAAAGAAACGCCATACTCCCGACCCGCCATCTCTACAACCGCCTTGGAAAAGTCATGCGGTAAGGACTGCGAGGAGAGTTTTTCCTCCAATTCCTTAAGCATCTCTTCAATCTCCGCCTCGCTGGTCTCCGAGAGTGTCGTAAGGGAGTGTACCTGCACCTTGAGCCGTGACAATATCTCCTGCAGACGCGCCAAAAGTTTCAGCTCCCCGGCGTTCTGCTCAAATACTGCCGTGTAATTGGACTTCATCGTGTCCAAGCGCCGCACGTGTTGTTCGCGCTCTGAGTTGAGTTTCTCCTTGAAAGCCTTTGCGGCGTTGTGAAGCCGCAGCAGGGTGTCCATGACTTCTTTGCAGCTGCTGTCATTGCAATCGTCCCATGCGCTCGTGTCATGAATATCGTCCAGGTTATCAGGAACAATCTTCCCACAGCCAAGGAGATAACTACGACACTCCGACTCCAACGACTCTCTCTGCCTTGTGAAATCCGTCAAAATCTCATAATGGTGATTAGTATTAGCCTCCAAAGAGGAAGAGACAAGGGAGGCAAAGTTCCGTTCCTGAGACACCAGCGCATTTATCGCGTTCGTCTTCGGAGCCATTTTCTCCAGTTCCTGAAGTTGCTCGAACAGTTGGTTACTGAGGGCCTCTGCGTCGCCAAATGCTACCATAGAAGACCAGGCGGTTTCAAGCGCCAAACAACTCTCCCGCAGGCGAGCGCAGCGGTTCTCTTTCTTCAAGTGCACCGCCTCGACCTCGCGTACTCGCCCCTCAAATTCAGACTGCATCTTGGCAGGGCGACGGCGGTGATGCCGCAGAATTTCATTCGTCTCCTCATCGACCGCGGACTTCTGCGCGTTGCACTGCTTCTGCAGATGCTCCATTGAAGCGTGACGAAGATGAACTGTCCAGTTGAGGACTTCAACCCGTAGCATCTCGCGCCACGCCTCAACGGTAGAGAGCGAAAGGGACGCCGTCCCGCCATCTTCCTTAAGCACGTCCTTTAGAAGCGCCTCGTACGTCTGCAAGAAGGCGGGCGGTAGCACGACACTCAGCATCGGGGAACGTCGACTGGAGTTTGCGCCGCTTTCACTCCGGGATTGGTTGTCCTTTATCTTTTTACTGCCTCTCTGTTTTGACTGAGACAACAACTTCTTGCTGCCTGACGTCAAAGAATTGCGTCTGACATCACCCCCGCCGCTCTTCCGACTTTTTTGCTGCGACGACTGCGGCGATGCAACTTCTGGTGAGGCTGGCAAATTGTCTTCCAGTGCCAGTGGCCCAATGATGAAATACAGCTGCCCATCCACTGCGGTGATGGTTGGATACGGTGGCATCGTCTCCTCGTCGCTTTCGGAGTCAGACTCCACAACAACACCCCTCCCACGCCCTTTTTTCGTCGCGGCCGCCTCTGCCGCTGCTGCCGCCGCCAATTCACGCTCGCGCCGCACGCACGCCTCCTCGCTTTCAAGGCCAAAGAGTAGCAACAAATTAGCGCAGTGCTGCTCCATCTCCTTCTGCCCCTCCTGCACGATGCGTTGCAGTGACTGCACGGTGTGGCGGTGGAAATTCGCGTGCTGCACTGCGATGCGTTCAAGGATATCAAGGTTCTCGACAAAAAATCTCTCCGCCGCCTCCACTGTTGCCGAGTGCTGCAGCTCTTTTTGCTTCCGTGCGAGCTCTGCCTCCACGCGTTGGAGGGCATCATCGTGGTCTTTACGTGCCTCATAGAGTTCAATAAAACGCGAACGAATGAACCCAAAGGCCTTTGTCACCGTCACCTCCAACGCGTTCGTCGCCTTCTCAAATGTCAGCAAAACGTTGCTCGGCCCAGTGAGCAGAAAGCCTTCAAGTGTCCCGTGCTGACCATTCAGCTCGACCTCCACCGCGCTGGTGAACCACTCACTCTCGTGTCGGATGGTTGCCAGCAAAGGCAACACTTCGGTGTCCACCTCCCCACTAAATTTTGCGTGCAGCGCGGCATTCGCATTGGTAAAGCGCTTATACACATCATCTACACCATGCAATGAGGCCCTCTCCAGCATCTCCGTTTCATTCTCCTCCGGCTGGCAGACCCACTGCACAAGGGCATGCAATTCCTTGAGGATCAATTCCGCCTCTTCACACAGCCGCTCTTCCTCAATACGGACTTCCTCCGCCACTGTGGCACACTGCACCAAGATGTACGCACCAGAACGTTCGCCTTACACGCCATTCCATCG